AATATCATGCAGTTACCTAAGAGGCAGTCATTTTAAGTATTGGCGAGGCACACGCTACGGCTCTTCGCCGTTAAACTGATGTGTGGCATATTATATAGAGAACGCGTGCCAGGAGGAAACTACCAAGGCACGGAATACGGTCGTTCGCTGGAACGGGATTATCCTGAAACCTCGGCCTGCGCCACGTGGAGGTTGTTCGTCGAGGCAGCCGCAAAAGTAGATGCTTATCAAGTCCATGGCATGTGTAAAGTCACGGATTATTGGTATCAAAATTATGTTGTTAAGCTTTCTAGCAACGGCTAGAAAGTTTGGATATTCCGTTGGATCTAGATTAGTTCCCCACGGAAGTTGGAATAACGAGATGCAACTAGCTTTTAATTTTGAAATGGCGCATGGTGTTATGTAGTACCGGCCGTTGAGGTTTTGCAAGTTCTTGCTGTTAACAGCTTTCATGAGCTAGTTTTGAATACGGCGGTACAATGGAATCTAAGTTAGCGAAAGACCGTATTTAGACGATAGATGCCTAAGGCTTCCAGCGACATTCCTGCTTCGTCTGAAAGTAAACTACAGTTAAGTTGCAGTAGAGACATCTCACTTGTTTGCATGACTCTACCAGTTGGTGTTGCAGCGTTCGTAATAGGCTGCCAGGCAGTGATAAAGGACTTGGTGGGTTTTGCCTCAGAGCCTTTCTCCGCATCAAAGCTACAAATGAACGCTGAACAACGCCGACACTTGGCTGACGTTATCCGGCAGTAAACAATGTCATTGTCAGTTGCCCATTTAAACAATCTTACCTAGTTCACTAAGTCAGTCATATAGTTCAAGGACTTTCCGGGATCCCATCTTGCACTGGCGACCTGGACAACAGCAAATATACATGCGACCACCCGTTGACAAATCCATCTAACATGATAACATACACATGGTTGTCGTCATCTTGTTCCGGATTTGCTTGTAACTGCGGCCTCCACCAGTGAGTTACAAGACTCCTGCTTCTACATCGGAGCCACGAGTGGTTTGCGCTGCACCAACCACAGCTCCATCCACACAACTCATACCCTGGCTAGCCCAACAAGATCGGGGGCCACCTGGATGGTTTGGGTGCAGCCAGTTTCGGCAAATGGTTCGGCGGCACTGATTCATGACGTTGTGGGTTTTGCCCGCTAAGCCTTCTTCCTAGATAAAGCCACCAACATCCGTCTGGCAGCACTATGACGCAGCGAATGTGACTCGCCATAAATTAAAGTCACTTCCCCGTGGATTTCCGGATAAGTATATCGAACCCACGGACAGCAGACGTCTATACCTACATCGCCGACGCTACCAAACAGTCAAAACTACTACGGGACGTTTACAATCACATGCTACACAGCTAGACATAAACACAAGCACACACATCCCTACCCAGGTTCCCTGTTGGGGCAAACAGGTTTTATTTTTGTACCATTTTACTCACACCTTGTCATCATATATAGTCATGCTTATAAGGGCTTGCCATGCGTTGTACAGAACAAAACATTTATTTAGTTGAGTTCTTTATTATAAACACAAAGGAATAATACCTGGAGACTTGTGGGTCATCGCCACGTTTTAACGACGCAGCCGACTAACCTTGCTTCAATATACATGGAAGGAGCATTACTGTGTATAAACTTAGGGTATTATGCCCACCGGACTTAAAAATGCGGTGGTTGGGTAATAGACCGCATCGCACTCCACTGACTCTTTGCACGAAATTCGCATCTGCATGCGGACCATCCATCCCGCCTAACTGCAACAAATTACAGTCTCCTGTGACCAGTAAACCGAGTGTACTTTAGTTGACAAGTAGGTGCATTATTTCATCAGTCACATTTACCACATCCAGCACGAGGGATAACAATCGATAGCTAACATCAGAATGACAATAAACGCAACACGCAGGCACACGTACAGACTAACTGCAACGATGAAGTGACACACGTGACATCGACCGCGTCAGTGTCCTGGGTTGGTAAATTGAGTACAACCAGTTACAGCCTGCCTACCAAGCGCTGCTCTGCTGGTGAGCACACATTTATCTGACTGTTCTTCCATAAGACGTTAAATTAGGTGGACGCGCTTGGGGCTTTCCAAACCTGCTTGACTGAAAAATCGCGGCCGCATGTGCTACAGCACAATGCGCTGGTCCTCGATAAGCCATCTTCGGTAGGTGCCTCTCACTTCGGTTTCATTCCTTTTCTATTTTGCGTTCAGCAATGATTTTCATTGTAACTGGGTAATCGGCCCCACGCTAATCTCGCACAATTTGTTTCGAGCCAATGCCTTTGATTTCCCAAACCTGGAATCAACATAAGTTGCTAATAAACTCAAAGTAAGCATACCCTACCAATGTTGCGTCGGTTTTTAGACGTTTCGCCCCCATGCATACTGTTTGCTATACGACAGCTGTTTTAGCAGTACGAGTTCAGTCATGACTTAGTTTAGGGCGTAATAGCAGTTTGCTGACAGGGAAGAAAGTACTCTTTCTGGAACATGTATAAATATATTTGTGACTATGACAAGCGCGCCATACTTTGCTAGGCCATAAGATTCTGACTCAGAATGTGCCAACCATGTGAGTAAATACGTAGTCTGGTTAACCCAACAAATTCCACGGTGGGCTAGCTGCGTGTTTCGGATTTAACCCATACCAGCAAATAGTTTGACGGTAGTGTTCCAACACGTGGTGGGTTGTCGCAGTGCAAGTGTTTTCCCCAAAAGCCACGTATGCCGATTAACAACACCGTGACCTAGCGGATGTTACACGCCATAAACTAAAGTCACTGCTCCGCAACATACTTAAAAGCTCGAGCGGCACAGCTGCATACAGCACAATTGGTTGGCGGCATCCGGTTTCGGATGTGCCTGTCACCGTGGCCAACCACAGGACGCCTACGCCTACAGAGGGACCATGGATGGCTTGCGCTGCACCACCCACAGCTCTATTCACACACGCCATATCCAGTGTAAACCCGAAGGAATGAGACCGAGAGGCATGCGGATGGGAACCACGCTTCATCAACGGAGCCGGCCCGCACTCCTTCACAGCCAAACACAAGCACATTGCATTTGGGGAATCAAGTGCACACAAGGCGGTGGCTGGACCGTAGTCAGCTCCACAATGAGTGAATGGAACCACTCTTAGAGCCTAGCACGACCACAAGGACCGTGCACCCCGTCCTCTTCAGCAACGACCAACTGTCTCCTGGAGCCAAGATGGACGAGGTAGTAGGTAATAGACAGGTAGGAACCTTGTCAACATGCACATCAAGGGCAGCCACACCTTGGATGTCAAACAACAGCTAATTATTCGAAATGCCGATATCGATTACAGTAAACGCATATGGCGACATAAATACCCGCTAACTGAGCATATAGAAGAAATTGGTTATAAGTGAATCCGTGATAAGTACAAAATGTCCGAAGGTTAGTTAAAAATACCACGCGATAAAATTACGCAAGTTTACCACAATTTGCGTGAGCGAAGTGTGCAAGTAAGGAAAAGATTATCGTATATGCGTATATACACCCACACACATTCGCTGCTTTAAATGAAACGTGTATCTTTGTATATTTTTGATCACCCTATGTTATGTTAACATGATCATGCCTGTAAAGGTATGCCTCGCGTTGTGAAGAATAAAAGGCTTTTATATGGTAGGACCGTGTACAAAATGCATGATATGCTGGTACCAGAAAAGCTAACGTACGCATGCATAAACGGGACTATCTTCAGATAACACGGCCCGGACTCTGTTAGGAAAACCACAGGTGTGTAGGCGTTTAGGTTAGCCATAGGTTGGAATCCATCGTTCTTACTGGCGGTTAGGTGCAGCGCATTTTCCATTATGCACAATAAAAGGTCTTCTGAATTTCCCAGATTCCAAAGGATACCTATCGAGTCTGCTCGTTTCAGATAAGTAGTAACACACAGTGGGGCCGTGCAAGGGCTAACAGCTGAAACATTCATGCAAGTGGCGTTATATGATTCAACAATATGAACGGTGGGGGCGGCATAACATTCGTTACGTTCCAACAAATGATACTTAAACTAAAAAAGCCTTGTTCTTACACTGCAGAGACCGGACAAGCAGTAGAAACATACAGAACGGGGTGAAATTGCTTAGGATGATTCAGAGAACTGGTATGATCCCAATGCTACTCAGCTACTATTTTCATGCCTGTTTAAATGACTCAGTCACAGATACATAGTAAGACAGAGTAATTTAGCGTTTCTATTTTTACATTTAAAAAACTTCGCACGTAGAATTAATGGTAGGATTGCGTAAACATTAACAAAGACAAGGCGAGATTGTAAGGATTCTAAACACAAACAAATACAGTGTGATCGTAAGCATTATAATAATGTCAACATTTTTGGTTAATGTCCGCACATGTGGTAAGCTTGCTGTTGAAAAATGTCAGCGCAAATACGGTGATCCAAATATCTTGAAAAGTCGGAACCAATTTATTGACCAATACCTTAGTTTTCAAACGCTGGTTTGCAAGTTAGGGCCAATGCTTGTTATAAACGCCACGCAGTTGCACGTTGTACTCCATCTTCTCTCAGGGACGGTAAGAATGCGCAATGGCGGGTTCACTTGAATTTGAGTTGAATAGATGTCCTATAGTACAGCAAGTAGATAAAGACAAGTAATTTGTTTTGCAGTATATGCAAGCATATTGGTACCATTTTCTTAAACGATGGTATCCGTTAAATAACAAAGTATTAACATAGCATATTAACGTTAACATTGTTTACCGTAAATTAGTGGGTGCAACCTCGCACATAAAATGTATGGTCATTCACTTTCTAGAGAACATATGTTCCGTAATGCAGTGCTACGCATTTCAAAGGAAAATTGTAACAAATTTTAGAGTTTACACTCAGCTGTTATAACGAACGGGTACTGCGAAACATACGCCCACGAGCTTTCTTCAACCTACATTGCGACGCTCCCACTGCGGCTTCTTTGGGGATGGTGAGTCTTCGATTGGTTCTTTTGTACTTGTCATGTCTACTGCTGATTGATCTTTCTCTTCCCTATACCTAGCAGATGTTGGACCTTTTCATTTTTGATTTGTATGCATTTTCATCCTGATTTATCGTCCCAGTTTCTCGAAATTTCTGGTCAACATTCGTTACATTGAGCGGTTTTTTATATCTATCGCTTACGTTTTGCCTTTTGGCTAGTTATATGTATTAACTGATAGTTCGAACGTCGCAGTTTCCTTACAGCTTTTGCAACTGACGCTGTCATTGAGCACTGATAGGAGTTGTTAATAACACGTGCCTATTTAACAGATGACCGATCGATTCGCACAAGTTCAAGTGGGACTGGAACGATAGTATGAATCCCTTAAGTGTTCCTTCTTGAGCGGGTCGTCGATCCAGGAATTGATAGGGGTGCTCTGACTTTTTAATGGGTCTAAAATGAAAACTCCGAAAAAACACTGGTCCGCCAACTTACAAGTTCAAGTTCAAGCGGGACTGGAACGATATGCTAGATCCCGTGAGTGTTCCTTCTTCGGCGGGTCGTTGAACCAGGAGTTGGCGAACTTTGAAATACTGATGGACCTAAAACAAAGACCGCATCACACCCTGTCCAACCAATTAATGCCCACGTATCCTGCCCTAGCAGTCCCTGCTGGGTCGGTTACGTGAAGTAAGAAAGAGAAAAAAGTAAACGCAGGAGGCAAAAGAGAAAGTGGTAAGAGCTAAGCAAGTGGAATACCAAGATGTTTGAGTCAATAAAAAAGAACTGAAAAATGAAGGTGAGTCAGCTAGGAAAAAGGAAAGGTTTGCTGTTGCCACCCTAGAGCATCGAGCTGGCGCGCAAAACCCTTAACCGTAGCTTCCCCAACCACGTGATCTGGAAGAGAATTCCAGCGATCTATAACTCGGCGCGATAGACGAGTTTCCGTCCTAATCCTATCAGACCGTGGTTTATGCAGTTTCAGTGGGTGACCGCGGAGACTAGGTAACGTAGCGGGACTAAAAAGCCCTGACAAGTCCGGGCTAATCTTACCCGTCAAAATACGATAAGTGAGAATCAGGTCCCCTCTTAACCTTCGGTAGTGCATGGAGTACATCCCCAAACTGAGCAAGCGTTCAGGATACGTCTGTCCCCGTAGACCCTGCACTAACCGAGTGCCCACTCGTAACACCCTCTCCAAGTCCATTTTGTCTCGGTTAAGACATGGTGGACAAGCCTGAATACAGTATTCCAGGTGGGGTCGGACGAATGCCGAAAATAGCTTCACAAACAACTTGGCCGTTAAGATTCCGAAAGAACGGCGGATAAACTTGATCATACGAAACCCTCGACAAGCAGCCTTCTTCCAGTTGTCTCCAGAATGAAGTGCTGATGCGTGTATGACTCCTAAATCAACCTGCTGAGTGAAAACAGGGAGTTCACCACCGCCGAGAACATATCGGGTGGGAGGATCAGCAGCTCCGATTCGGAGAACAGAGCACTTGGCCGTATTTATGGGCATCGACCATAAGATAGACCATTCCCAGAGTCTATCCAAGGCACGCTGAATTGCCTCAGGACCCCCGGGATATCCACAATATTCCAGAGCTTAAGGTCGTCAGCAAACATTAATGATGACACCCCTAGCTCTCCCGGTAAGTCATTTACATAGATCGCGAACAACAATGGCCCCAATACCGAGCCCTGCGGAACGCCACTAGGGACAGCTTGCCTGAGCGAAAGGCTACGCCCCACCCGTACGCACTGTTCCCTCCCCTCAAGGAAGGCAAACACCCATTGAAGTGCGCGACCAGATATCCCGTAAGATCTCAACTTTAGTGAGAGCCGAAGATGTGGAATAGTGTCAAAAACTTTCGAAAAATCTACGAATAGCACGTCTACAGCGTGGCCACTGTCTACCGCTTCGGCCCAGCTTTCACGAGCTACAAGTAAATTAGTCTGACATGAAAATCCTTTGCGGAATCCATGTTGTGCAACACTGAGAAGGTTGAATCAATTCAGGTGGTTCTCCACTGAATCGCTTATCAGCTTTTCAAACAACTTGACTACTACGCTTGTCAAACTGACAGGCCGGTAGTTCGCGGGTAGAGCGCTGTCACCGCCCTTAAAAATCGGAGAGATGATTGCCTCCTTCCATTCCGAAGGTAGGCTGCAGCTGTCCAGCGATGTTGAAAATACGCACATGAGCAGACCACTCAGCTCAGTGGCCAGTTCATGCAACAGCTTCGGATGAATTGAATCAGGACCGCAAGCTTTAGAGGGATTATTGCCTTGCAGTAGCTCGAAGACCTGAGTCTCCGTAATGCTAAATTCAGCTAAGCAAGAATCCTCTGGAACTCTTGAAACCAATTCAACCTGCGGTAAAGAGGTCTCCCGAGCAAAGACCGCAGTATACTGATCACTCAGTATACAAGCCTTGTCATAGTCAGTTTGCGCACGGGTGCCGTCTGCTCGCAATAAAGCTGGTATAGACAGTTTTGCCCCGCTGCGTCTTTTAACGTAAGCAAAAACTTCTTGGGATTAGCTGCGGCCGAGTCCGCTAAACCCTGCTCGTATTGGAGACGAGCAGTTCTGAGATGTTGCTTACATTTATTTCTATTCTCTCGATAACTATCATAGGTACTGGCTGATGGAGCTGCTTGGTAGGTTCGCCAGCATCTAGACCGTTTCTTGAGTAGGTACTTGCCTGTGGTATCTATCCATGGAAGCTGTGCCCTTAACCATCTTTTCCTAATGAGTAAAATATAGGGTGCGGAAACCTCCGTAAGGTATGCCTTAAATTTATCCCAGGCTAACTGGACAGAGTCAGCCATCGAAATCTCACAGTTCAGAACTGAAGCCTTAGTTCGCATTGCACTAAAGTCCGCCCGCCAAATATTCGGAAGTAATTCAACAGCGGTCTCTTGGTGCCTTGAAAGAGCACATCGAAAGGATATGCATGCGTGATCGCTGGACCCTAGAGGTGCACCGCATGAAACTTCAGTCACGAAGTCCAGGGACTTAGCGAAAACCGAATCCAAAGTAGATGGCATTTGGTTGTCCATATAGCTAGTGGGAAAGTCAACGAACTGGTGCAAAGCCACTTGGAGAGTCAGTTCAAGGAAGTCTGCACCGAATGTTCCTAATGCCGAATTGCAAGAAAGCTCGGCCCAACAGACTTCCGGGAGGTTGAAATCCCCTAGAACTAAACACTTATTCGCAGACTGAGTGCGAATAAAGTCAAGTATCCCCCTGGAGGAACTTCCAGGACTTCTGTATACCACTATAACTGTAAACTGGGTAGAGGAAGTGCACAAAACAGCCGATAGGGCTTCAACAGTCTGATCCGACGACTGGAATGTGTAAGTCTTCAACACATCTAAGTTACTGCTCACATACAGTATAACGCCTCCGCCTTGGCGACCAACGGAGCGATCAGTTCTAAGCAGCGCGTAGCCAGGTAAATATACCTCACCGTCCGTGATATCCGGAGACAACCACGTCTCAGTGAAAGCAAGTATGTCGGGACGAGATTTGTCTACAAGTAGACCCAACTCGTGCACCTTGTTCCATAGGCTACGCACGTTGCTAAGTACTACCTCAAGGAAGTCGGCACGACCATCCCTGGGTCGTGCGCCTTGCACTAGCAGTCTCTGCTATGCCAATTACGTGAAGGGAGGAAGAAAAATCGAAGGTAAGAGAGTAGGGGAAATCAGTTAAAAGCAGAGAATACCACTGGCGAGGAAAGGTAAAGCAAATAGAATCGAAGTATGAAGATGGGAATCAGTCAGGAAAAAGAAAAGGTTTCGTGTTGCCACCGAAGAGCGTCTAGTGGACGCTCAAACCCCTTAACCGTAGCTTCCTTGACAACGTTTTCTGGAAGCAGGTTCCAGCGCTCAATGACTCGATGCGATAACCGTGTCTCCGCTCTAACTCGATCGGACCGCGGTTTGTCAGCTTCATAGTGCCCGCGAGGACCAGAAAATCGAGCAGGACTAAATAGCCAGGACAAATCAGTGCCAACCTTACCAGTCAAAATACGGTAGGTTAACATTTGGTCCCCTGTAATCCTTCGATAGTGCATTGACTGCATCCCCATACTAAGAATGCGTACGGGGTACGTTTGTCCTCGTAACTCCTTGACCAACCTAGTACCGACCGGCAACACCCTTTCTGGTGCCATTTTGTCCCGGACAAGGCATGGTGGACAGGCCTGGACGCAATATTCTAAGTGGAGTCGCACAAACGTTGAGAAGAGCTTCACAAACACCTCAGCGGTTAGGGTCCCGAAAGAATGACGGATAAACCACAACATCCGGAAGCCTTTACTAGCCGTCTTCATGTAATTTTCCCTGGTGTAGTGTGGAACGGTGGACGACACCTAGATCAACATGAAGAGTCACGTGAGGAAGTTCACTCCCATCGAGCACATAACTTGTGGAGGAATCAGGCGCTTCGATACGCAGCACTGAACACTTTGCCCGGTTTATGGGCAACAACCACAAGACAGACCATTTCCAGAGTCTAACGAGAGCCCGTTGAAGAGCCATATGACCTCCAGGGAGATCAACAATATTCCACAGCGTTAGGTTATCAGCAAATAAGAGCGATGGTACCTCAAGTTCCCTCGGCAAGTCATTCACGTAGACTGAGAACAGCGGCGGACCTAGGGCAGATGCTTGCGGAACGCCGCTAAGTACAGCTTGTCGAAACGAAAGACTGCTTCCCACATGAATACACTGTTCCCGTCCATCCAGAAAAGCTGACACCCACTGGAGAGCGCGACTAGATATTCCATACGACCTCAGTGAGAGTCGCGAATATGGGAACAGTGTCAAAAGCCTTGGCGAAGTCAGTGAACACCTCATCCACCGCACCGAGCACAATGTGACCAGACGGGCTATTAAGCGCGAACTAAAGCGGAGCCTATGTGCTGACAAAGAAGCCTGGTGGACCAGTCGGGCTCCAGAAATCGCGGAGGCACTAATCACTAGCTCTTCCAGCTG